TACCATTTAAGTTTTTGAAAAGAGCATTCCCTAGAGTTTCTTGCTCGTTCTTCTCAGGGAAGTCAGCGTAGTGAACGAGCAGGGGCTTAAATGTGACGTTTTCAAGTGTAAATTTATTTTACCTATGGAATAAATGAGTCCTTGACGTTGACTTTGACTTTGACTTTGACTTTGACTTTGACTTTGACTTTGACTTTGACTTTGACCTTGACTTTGTCCAAAGCTTTTCTTGTGCAGCATTGCTCAATGCTTTATTGGCTCTTTCTGTTGTTTATTATATAACACTTTATACTCTATGGTAAGGCCACATGTATAAAAATGACAACTTTAAAATAGAGAATTTTAAAGTTCTACGAACGAAATTAGTCGATAACTTTTTTATGCTCATATAGAGTTATAAATTTTCACATATGCATAATTTGTTTCATTTGGTTCGTATTGTTTTTATGATTTGCATGCAGTAAAAGCACTTTTAAAGTATGATTACATATGGTTTTATTATACCAAGAAGGCTACGACTTTAAAAACTGAGCAAATTAAAAAAAAACATAAGTAACTTACACATAATAAAACAATTCAGTCATCTATTGATTATACATAATAAAAACTCTTAGTATGCATAACTTTACGAACGACCGGACTAGCCCTTTCCTTTTCGGCAGGTGAATACGCTAGCCCAGTCTGAGGTCGTTCAGCACTACACATGGAGCCAAATAAGGAGATTAAATAATGAATATGGCCATAATGTCGACGGTCTCCTTGCGCATTTACCTATTTGACTTCTTTGATGTGCGTCGAGAAACTAACCAGCTCGTGGTAACGCATATTTGTATTTGTTGAATTTGTTGAACAGGCAATCAAGGCAAATACTTTGTAACACATGCTCATTACAATATTTAATTTAAACATCTTACATCGAAAATACTTGAAATAGCTATACGGGACACTACCACGGATTATTGTCATTCAAGTACGCAGAAGTTGTATAATAACCTTTATTACAAAGTTTTTGTTTCACAATAGTTTTAAACCTCGTAATTGGCAAATTTTTAATATCAATCGGAATCTTATTGTAGAAGCGTGTACACTGCCCCTTAAATGAATTTGAGACTTTATGAAGACGACTGTCAAGAACAGCTAGTTTGTTTTTGTTGTTCGTATTAATGTCAATATTTCTCATAAAAAAAAATTTTCTTAACACAAATAACATCTTCATAAATGTACTGTGACGTAAGAACGTTAATCTCTTTATACTTATTTGTCAAAGACACTCTGGCGACCAGATTGTAAACACAAATACGCAATCACAAATAGATATGTGAAGTGCCACCATTAGAGTACAGTTATCATACGTTTTCTATGTCAGCCAAATAGGTCAACCCCTTCGGTAAGTTTCAACTCACGTCACGCTGTATTTTTAGAGCTCCTTTCACTGTCTTCTATAGCGTGACAAACCTCACTCACCTTTGGAGATACATCCTCGTAAAGTCCGATAGTTTTCATTTTGCGAAGTTCGTGACGTCTTGTGTTTACGTCATTGTGCTTTTGATTAGAAGCTTGTACACAAGCAGAAATGATCCATTTAGGTTTTTCAGGTTAATTTTGTCTATAATATTTTTAAATAATCATTGTGAATATAATTAAATATATATTTACAAAGAGCAGCAGCAGCAGTAGAGCTCCTTGTGAAAGAGTTCGTCCAGGGAAGTACTGCTACCTTACCCATTTCTGCCGCCAAACAGTAATGTTAGCATTACTACGTTCCGGTTTAGAAGGGTAAGGGTGCTGGTGAAATTACAGGCACAAGGGACTTGTCAACTTATGCCACAGGGTGACGGGCGCAGTGTCAATGCCCATCAGATCTGTGCTATTTAAAACTCTGAGTGGCACTGCAACTGTTATCGACAGGCGTGTAGCTTACCATCAGGCACACAACTTGTTCGTCCCATCACTTGATATTATAAAAAAAAAAAAAAACGAGCACCACGTAAAGTTTTCAAATCGTTCTTCGCAAGCAAATTATCTTACGTACGTACAAGCTATGTTAAATCAATATAAAGATTTCAAATTTAATTTACTAAGTAAAGAGAATTTGACAGTAGACAGTAGGCAGTATTTGATAATGGATTTAAGATAAAATACACTGAAGGTACAGAATATATTGCCTGATACATTACAATTTCAAATTCAAGTCATTCAAGGCCCCTAAAGTTTTTAGGCATGTCTCTACAAAATGTCTTGATTAAAAGGATCATAAAGTCGAGTATATAAAATTCAACAAAACCTATATGAAACTATTCAACTTTTATAATAGTTCTTAATATGTATTGGTCCAGTAGGTTCAATTTAATATGAATCAGTTTTTTTCCGATGTCAGAGAGGTCCCCGTAGTCTAAAGTATTTAGTTTCACATATTGGACTTGTTCTGAATATGGTTTTAATCAATTTTGCAGTTAAGTTGCTAAATTGTACCAGACAGCCTCACCTATTACTTCAAACTTTGGAATCCCCTGCACTATAACTACTGCAGAATACTCAAACCACAATCAAGTAAGAAAAGTTAATTTCCCAAATTAATCCTACAGGGAATCGAACCCGGGACCTACCACCGAGGTCGTTAATTATTATATCTAAACATCGTTAAATTAAATGCTATTACGTTTAGGACATTAGACATAGGAAGTGAATTATTTAACCGACTTCAAAAAAAGGAGGAGGTTTTCAATTCGCCTGTATGTTTTTTCTTTTCATGTACGTTACGCGATAACTCCGGTATTTGTGAACCTATTTTGATGATTCTTTTTTGTTGGAAAGAGGATACCTGCATAGTGGTCCCATTTCATTTTGAAGAAAATTATCCACCTCTAAGGATGGCTGTTCACGCATAAAGATTCATTTTTATAAATAGCGCCTAAATTTTATTATAAGGAGCAATTATTTTAATGGTTGATTTTGCTATTCTCCAATTAAAGGCGTTTTTCTCTCAATATACTTTGAGTAGTGAGAACCCATTTTTATTATCTCCTGTGTCAAGTTCCGTATACTACTACTAGTACTAGTACTAGGGAATGAATCCGAGTTTGCGCACTTGTTGTTTTCAATAAAACTTGGCAAATAGATGTAATTCCGTCACTTTTGAGGTCGGTTTTTAAATACTCTGTACTGAGATTATTTTTTACGGGTCTAAAGTTGCGTATATTTATTTTGTCAAACAAACCAACGTTTCGATTCCTTTACAAATCTCATGGTCACGGCATGGCTAGTTGGCCACGCCCTGTACTCTCGTTCTCCATCCGTAACAATTACTGTAGGAATTCGGCAAAGACGCATAATGCGAATTAAACTTACTACTATTTACTTGTAGGTACTATTTCATTTTCCTTCATATTTTACAGGTGTAAAGACTGTCATTCTAACTAAATATCCTTTTTTTTTACAAAATAAGAATTTTGGTTAGAATGGTGTGTTTAAAAATCAATATTTAGGTACAACTATTTCTTATACTCGTACACGTAGGTTGATATTACACATACAGATACCTACTAAAAAATATCACTTTTTTGCAAACTTGTATATATACATAATGTAGATACGTATTATAGACTTAAAACGAGCTGGCAACGTTCAATCGTGCATTCCACTCGAATTTGTACTAAAAGTAGTGAAAGATTGCTATTTGTCCCGCTCGCACCGCTCCTACTGTATAAAAGACAGGTGAACTATCAACGCAGACGGTTCCCAGTTCGTACTGAACTAAAAAGAACGATGAACTGTTAAAACCGTGCAAGACGAACTCGTTCATGTCGGTCAGTGTAGGGAATATATTCCTAATAGTTCGTAGTTCATGAAATATACAAGCCTAGTCGGTGGAGCCTCTTCCAGTCCTCTCTCCTACAAGCCAGCTTCTTGACCTCCTTATACGACACGACACCGGTATTTTCCTTTATTTGGTCTATGTAACTGCGCCTAGGTCGACCTCTTCCCCTCTTCCCCTCGATCTTTCCCTCCAAAATGGTCTTAAAGGGGTTGCCGTGTCGTATCAAATGTCCAATAATTTTCCCGCGTATATACTCTGTAATATTCAGTATCGACCTTTTCTCGTTTACTATTCCCAATACTTCCTCATTGGTTTTCTTTTCTATCCAACTTATACCCTTCATCCTCCTCCAGCACCATATCTCAAAAGGTTCTAATCTTTCCCTATCTCGTTGTGTCGGTGCCCATGTTTCACATCCATAAAGTGCAATACTCCAAATGCACACTTATAGATTAATTATTTGACAGTAATTGTTTCGGACAAATATCGGACGAATAACGAGAATAGATCCCCATGTGCTGTAAAGAGCCAGAGCCGTTTGTAATAAACGAGAAAACCTAATAATCTCAGTCCAGAGTACTAAAAAAACTGACCTCAAAAGTAAGTGGAATTACGTCTATTTGCTAAGCTAAGCTAAGCTTTTATAGAAATATCCCCTAGTTCGCCACTATATAGCACTTGACACTGGAGATAATAAAAATCGGTTCTCACTACTCAAAGTATAAGACAAAAACGCCTTGAATTGGAGAAATAGCAAAATCAACCATTAAAGTAATTGCTCCTAAATTAAAGTTAGGCGCTATTTATAAAAATGAATCTTCATGCGTGAACAGCCACCCTTCGAGGTGGATGAGTTTCTTCAAGATGAAATAGAACCACTATGGAAGTATCCCCTTTCCAACAAAAAAAGAATCATGAAAATCGGTTCAAAAATACCGGAGTTATCGCGTAACAGACATACAAAAAAAGAACATACAGACGAATTGAGAACCTCCTCGTTTTTTGAAGTCGGTTAAAAACTCGATAAGCTTTTTTCCTTGCGTTGTCTTTTCATTGATTAAATATTAAACATTATTTAATCAATGAGAATAATACTAAATTAAATTTAATATTAATTAAAATTAAGATTAAATATTATTAAAAATTACGCTTTGTCATAACGGATGTAATGTGTTTGTTTTAGTGTCAACGGTGGACGTGGACGCAGTTCTGGGCCGTACCGCATCGCTGCCCTGTGACGTCACCCCCGACACCAAAGAGGATCGTGTCTACATGGTGCTCTGGTTCCGCGCTGGTAAAGCCAGTGGTGGAAAACCTATTTACAGGTACGACTTTACAATAGGAAATTTGCTACCTTCCTTCATCTTAATCGCTTCCGCAATGCTAAGGATCGTGACTCCACTTCATCCTGTCAACCATTTCGATTCACCAATTACTGATAGGTAACTCAAGTTGTACGGAGATATATGCCACGTCCACTGTACATTTTAAATGATTTTCTTTAACCATTCTTTAATCACGTTTTTCTCGAAAACAGATTTGACTTAGTTACTGCACTCTTAGGGTCGTATTCTAGAAATCTACTCAATGCTCAAGTCAGGATTGCACTGGAAACACAAGCACTGGTAATACGACCCTAATAGCAGGGACTTGAATATGATTTCGAGTGCTTTAAACCATACTCAAATCCTGACTTGAGCATTGAGTAGAGTTCTAGAATACGACCCTTAGTTAGGAGGGCAGAATTCCTGCCTCTAGAACTTTTTCTTTCCACCTTCCCTGTCACCATCACCAAATGCTCCAGGTTATCACCATCTCTTTGCTACCTTTAAATAGAAAAAAGTATTTTTTTCTCTACATATTCATTATATTTTTATTTAATTTCAGTTATAATACTTATTATTAGATTATACGTATACCTTACATTTCAATTACTTACATAAACGTCTGCAAAATGAGATTTGAATGACTTTTCTTGTTATTTCTTGGCAATTCTAATTTAATTGAATTATAACTATTGTTCAGCCGAGGCAATAGTGAAATAAATTTTCCATTTTTAAAAGTACATAACGTTTGCTTTTTTTACACTGAAACATATTTACAATCATATTTATGCCTTGTAAAGTGGGAATATATTATATTCACAGTTTACAAGGTTGTTAGAAAAACACTAACAAAGTCGCAGGAGTTTATTACTAAAATCATAAACTACAACTTTCAACATCTGCCATCGGTTGTCATAAATATACTCGTATTTCCTATAACGAACTTCCATGTGGAATAAAATTTATTGTGCTTCAGTATCGCCTATTATTACGTTGATTATAAATCGTTCATCCGGTGTAACAATGACAAAATTGTAAAAACATACAAAACTATGATAATTGTGGCATAAATAACTTAAAGTATTTTTGGTAGAGTAAGAAAGACATTAATGTACCTTCAAGATCTTATCGCTTAACATTCATAACATGGCGCGAGGGTTGTTGTAGTATTAGAACGAAATTAAAATGGAAAAGTTACTTTATTCTGTCCTGGAAAAATTTAAATTGTACACTTATGGATTTCTGAACACCGGATGAGCGATATCATAACATCCGCTAGAAAATGAATAGTGCCTAGGAGCTCTTAATAAACAGAATTGAAAGCTGAAGTACCTGAGAATAGTTGCACCTACCAGCAAACATAAGGATCATGTAGAATAATGCATTTTCGAATATTAAAAAAAAAATCGACTGTAGAAATGATTTTTTTTATAATATCAAGTGACAGGACGAACAAGTAATGCGCTTCATTGTAGATTCCACGCCCGTCCATAACAGTTGCAGTGCCACTCGAATTTTAAATCGCAATATATGAGGGGCACTGTCACTGCGCCTGTCACCACCAGACATAAGTTGACAAGTCCCATGTGCCTGTAATTTCACCAGCAACCTTACATTTCACAACCGGAACATTTGGCTTGGCGGCAGAAATAGTAAGGTGGCAGTACTTCCCTGGACGAACTCTTTCACACTACTATTTTATTTCTCTCATTTTGCATTGTCGCGGAATAGAATGGTCACGAATTTTTGTAACCACAGCATAATGAACTTTATGTCCATTGTGTAACGTACAAACTCGATACTAGTCATAATGCAGGTCACGAATCATTCAGGAAAATCATCCAGGAAATTCGGAATTCCAGCAGCTACCGTATCGTATCCAATTTGTACATTACACAATTGACACAAAGTGCATAATGCTATACGAGCTGTAATCGTTAAGTGTGCCCAGACGATTATTCCGTAAATCTAAGAGATATCAATAGTATATTGTGTATTAAGGGCGGTAGACAAAGATATCGTTGGCATAAATAAGAAATTACCAACGAGAGCTCATTAGGAGCCCGAAGCCGAAGGCTGAGGGCTTTAGTAACTCGTGGTTTGTAATGTTTTTATCACATTTGCGAGGAAATAGATACAACTATAATTTATTTCTTGTATGAATAAATATCGCTTCACAACACAACATTTACGGATTTTGCAAATGGTGAGTTTTTTTAAACAGATTGCCAGCTGTTCTACTATAGATTATACAGATCGTAATTAATTCGAAATTCTAAAAATACTGCAAAATATGATTTCACAAAGTAAATTTAGTTCAATAAATATATAAAACATATTAAAGTCAATTTATGGCAGTTTTGTTATCTGTAAACTTATTGTTGCCTCTTATAGTAGGTCAACTAAATTGAAATTCAGAATTGACTCCACTCGATATGATGAGCCAATGAAGACGAAGATTAATGCCTATAAAATAAAATTAACTGAAGAGTCAGCGTTACATGAATATTTACCTAAAATTAGTAAAAGAAAAATTCATCAAGACTTGGCTGTATTTAAACCCTCGCCATAACCTTAACGGAAATAATCTAAAAAAAACAACAACATATTACGTTTAGAAAAGGATCCAATTTACGCTTTTAATTATTACATAAATATAAGGGAAAAGATTCTTAAACTAAGTTTTTCATTTTTACGACCACTGCTCAATTATAGCATCTTTAGTTCGCGTACATAGATATTTCATTCCAACATAATTTTTTTCACTACATACATACAAAATTAATTAATTGTGTTTAATTACTTATATTTTTCCTACATCGGTTTCAAACTTGTGATATTATATAATATTATTTATATATATTTATATATTTATATTATATTATTAATATTATATAAGTACGTTATGACTGTCTAAAAAGTACATAACATAGCATATCTGTGCCAGAACATCGCAGAATCTTCCTTCGGTTCAAAGACATTTCCCTGACACGTATGATAACCATATAAATATTACCGTCACGATTTACATGCACGCACGGTAGTCGATAATGCCTCCATAGCAGCCACGACGTGAATTTGCTACGCAATGTGCTATGATACTATAAATACAAAAATCTTGACTTTGATACAATATAATTCATGTACACTCGTACAACGTTTTTCTTAACCTTCGTATACCCGCGCGTTGATCTCTCAGACTGACGATTATCATTTGCCGTGTTTTTTTAAACGAAAAACATTAGAGCTTCGTGCTCACTGCTAGCTGCATGGTTCGTGGCTAACTTCATCTAAGGTAATAGGAGTATTCGTGCATACAATACATGTACCCGTACATGACACCGATCGGTCTCTTAGACCGACTGACGCGGGTATAGGTGTCACAGTTTTAGGTTATTCATATTTTTAGTAATTCCTATAGATATGTATTCTTTTTCATTATAATTGAGATTACGTTATGTATTATCACACCCCGAACACTCCATACGACAGTCGAAAATTATTTACCTACTACTACTACGTACAGCAAGGCGCTATCTGCACACGCGCAAATGTATGCGTGATATGGCAGGGTTACCCATCACTTTTTTGCACTATTACGTTACGTGATCAGCGCGGCAACATAGCGAAAATGCTAACACGAATCTATTATCTATGATTCTATTAATAGAATCCAGAATCCTAATAATTACACATGTCTGTTATGTATTTATATCGATATAATATCATATTATTTTTCATTAACTCGCTAACTAGAGTAATATAGAAGATTTATTTAAAAAATATATAAAAGCACTTAAAATGTTATATTTTGAACATGTACTTTTAAATAAGGTAACCAAGGTATTTGAAATTGCGTGTCCAAGTTGATCATCATTAATTAGGTATATTCGCTACTTACGTAATATTTATAGGCAATATGAATTGAAAATTCGAGAACCCTTGTCTACTAGCACACGAAGTCATGGCGCCTCGTTCATTATGTTGATATAATAAATCTGTGTTTTTTATACATACATATATTATTCTGCAGTAAATGAATGAAGAAAACAATAACTGAATGAGTCTCAGACATAACTTTTTACTTACTTCGTTTCGTCTTTCGAAAAATGAAGATAAACAGCCATACGCAGCACAATTCACGACTATTATAAATAGTAACGTAAAATTATGTTTTATATTAACGTACAAGTTTCGTAATGAATAAATGAAAACTATATTAAAATATCAAAGCCGTCTTCGCGCGAAAACGGCTCGCCGACGGCCTTGTCGTCGTTCTGTCAATGTGACCGGCAACGTGCGGGGCGTGGTGCGGTATCTAAAGCTAGGGAGGGGCGGAGAGTGTCCGTTCTCTTCACTTTTCGTTCTCTGGTATTATATTTGTAAATTGTTTTACGTCATATTTTATTCCCTTTTACATATATGAGGAACGCATGTGAAGGTTTTTGGAAGAGAATGACTCCGATTCCAACTGTGAGGGCGAAAATAGCAGTGACTTTCAGGAACATGTAGAAGTATAGCAAGTGAGAAATGACACAGAACAGGAGATAGTTCTGAAAGCGAGGAGAAGTTTCTAGTTTACTACCTAGGCAAAGATAGTCAAATTAAATGGAATAAAAATGCTGCATCGATGACACTAAAACGTTTTTTGAGCAAGATATATTTTTGTATGCAACATGCTATTTAGTTTATGGTTTTTAAAATTGTATGTCAAAGAATAATTTCTTTGACATATCAGAGTTTTTTTTTATTTTGATACTATAAAAAGTATATTTTTGTTCAACTATTTGTGGCTCCTAGGAATATTGTAAATTACCAACGGTTGTAATAAAACACTGCTTATCTCTAATATAAAAAAAAATGTATAAAAAGTTGCACGATACAATTTTACACATTTCCTTTTAATATTAAACTTAATTTTACGATGATATTTTACATAATATACTAAACATACTAAAATGTCCCTGGAACTTTCGGTCTCACAGACCGTGCGCAGGTAT